GTTGCCCAGGCGAGTCTCGAACCTGCGGGCTCAGGCAATTCACTCACCTCGGCCTCCCAAGGCGCGGGATTACAGGCTGAGCCACCAAACCCGGCCTGTTTCGTTTTTTTAACCACAACATGTATGATGTCAAGAATTGCTACTAAGAACAATCAAATAAACCATTCGTTTGAACACAGCTATCAAATTAGGTATCATCTGTGAATTTGCTGATTGATGGTAGGTATTAGCAGTTCATGGTGTCATCAAATTTCAGAACTCCCAGGGCGTTTAGGGCAGCCCCTCTGTGGGGAGACAGAGGATAAGTGGCCGGCTCGAGGTCCAGGGATGGTACCAGGGCTTAACCTCCATCCACTGGTCGCCTGACGCCCCCAGTGGACATCAGGCAGTCCTGCCCTTGGCCTTGCTGATGTACCTGAACTGTGGAATGGGGAGACCGTGGGTGTGGCCCCCGGGGTGCTGACAACAGACCACAGCCTTGGGAGAGCTGGTGAGGGCCCATGCCTGGTGGCAGGCTCCTCGAAAGGTCTCTGTAGTGAATGGGAGGCCCCAGGGAAGGAGCTTCAGAAATGATCGCATTCACACCATTAAGGCTGTGTGGCTACAATCACAAGACAATGAGAGTTGAAGGGAACAGGGACCAGTCGCCCTGCCCAGAAGGCGGAGGGGTCACCGGAAGTAGGGCGTGGTCAAGAGGAAGTGCCCCTTGTGTGTGTGCAGAGAGGCTGAGAGCCCCTGGGATCTGTCCCCTGGCCTCTGGCTACTCCCTCTCCCGATGCCCTGGTGTTCCAAAACTGGAATGTTCCACACTCCGCTTGCCTTCAGGCCTGTATTCTTTCTGCCAGCAGCATACCTCCTCTCCCCTTTTCAGCTCCCAACTCTTCGAACTAACTTTCCCCTTGAGATGTTATTTGAGCTGCCCTTTCCTTCAAGAGATGTTTAAAGACAGTTTTGTTTGTCTCACCAGTTTCCTCTGTGCCGACTTGAGTGGCTGCTAACTCCCATCCTGTCCACCCTCTGCAGGTGACCGACCACGCCACCACTGCCCTGCTGCACTACCAGCTGCCGCAGATGCCAGATGTGGTGGTCAGATCCTTCATGGTGAGTGGCCGCAGGGGTCAGGTTTCCTGTTGGAAACGTAGCTACCTCCAAGTGGGAACAGGCAGCTCGAAAAGTGGCTGCTGTGTCTTCGGACTTCGAGGGCCTCCCAGGGGAGATGCCAGCTGAAAACTGCTGCTTTCTTTAAAATGGGAAGGGATCTGGAGAAACCACTTCCAGCTTAATTCACTGGTGTTTGCTATCATTGCTGAACAAGTGGTGGTTTCCGAAGTGATCTTCCAAAATAGATTCCAGCATTGATTTCGTCAAAATGTTTTGCCAAGCTTCTGATCTGGGCTGGGCCCTATGCTTGGCGCTGAGCATTATGCAGTGAAAAAGACAAATCTCACAGCTCCCCAAGACATCGCCTCCATGGGTTTTCAGAGTGGGAGCAAGATGGGAGCAGCCTCAAGAGTTGCAGAGGTGTGCTGGAGCCAGCCCTGTTGGTTCCCATTAAGCGTTGAGGATTTTGCAAGCTGGGGCTTCAGGCAATGTGTGACATCAGACCCAGTGGGAGCATTTACACCACAGAAATCAGTGAGACCTACAAGCCAGGCCTCCTTCCCCACCCCAGGGCCAGCTTCTCAGCACTTAGCACACAACTGCCAGTTGGCCTAAACAGGGGCAACAGTGGGCTCGCTGTGTCCTTGACTGACGGACGCGGCCAGCTGTTTCCGCATCACAGTGATATGGTATCACACTCACCCACCAGCAGACTCCTTCCACTGCTACCGCAACTCCTTCCTTCGTGCGAGGCTGCCACTCAGAGAAGCTGCTCAAAGAACTTTCCCGAGAGCGAGTCCAGTTGGTGCTGACAGCTGGATGGGGTGGCCCAGCCAGGTCGCTGTGGCACGTGGGCATCAACAGTCGGGCTTCTCACACCCGCCTCGCTGATGGGCTTTGTGGTGTCAGAAGGCTGAACATGGCAGAGCAGGGCTCAGCAGAGCTGTGCACAGGGCGAGCCTTCAACGAGCCAGGAGAACAGCTCAGTTGACAGTGTCCCGTGAGAGCTTCGGTGTCAGACACAAAGACTTGCCCTGAACCTGACATGCCACAATGCCCAGCTTCCCTCTGGTAACTGACTTTGGGACTTGGGGAGGATTTGAGTTTGCTCAGGACCATAGAATAAATAGTCTAAGCGAATGATTCATTGACCTGCTTGTGTGTGTGTTGCCAAAGCCCCAAAGCACCCGGCCTTGGGAATGGGGACAGGATTGATGGGCCACGCTCTGCCACCACGCCGGTGGCTCTGATGAAGATGAAAGGATTTGTATCAATAAACCCAGCCGACCTCTTCAAACAACAATTTTCTCCCATCGACATAATTCAGGAGGACATTAAGTGACAAGATTTCTGTGTCCCTTTCACAGTGAGAACTTGCTTGCCTCCTGTCGTGGGGCTTCGTTCTTTTTTTTTTCTGGCAGCGAATCTCCTTGAGTTTGAGAATTGAGTTACAGAATCTCATCCTTATGTATGACGCCTGAGAAAGCTCTGCACTCTGAACTGCTCAAGTGCGGGCTTCCCACTTATTATGTTACTTGGTGGCGCCAGGGCTGTCCCCACCCCCCCGCAGGTGTGTTAGGCCACACGGTGACAGCGAGTGATGACCTCTGCGGTCAGATTACCTGCAGGTCCACTGACCTCCATGGAGAGTCCTCAGGTCGTTGTGTGTCCCAAGGCTCCGCTGCGCACAACCACGATCGCTGTTTCAGAGTGACCAAGGGGAGAGGATCAGTACTAATATTTGGAAGACGGGGCTCAGGAGTGAAACATGACTTCGCTTGGTCCCCAGACCTTCGGGCTGCGCAGTGGTTCACGGGGATTCCCCAGGGAACCCTTCCTGCTTCCGAGGGTGGGACTTCTGTTTCTAAAACGCACTCAGCCGGGGGGGAAGGGAGCATCAGAACTGAACGTCAGGGGTGAGGCGACCTTGTGGGTTCATGCGACATCGCAGGGCATCTTTTGGGGTCAAAGCCCACCGGAGTTCCCTGTGCTCAGGGTCATTATCATTAGGCTTAACAGGAAGGATGACTTTGGAAGCACCAGATCCCATTCTTCCATTTCTCTCCCCGTTTCTCTTTTTAGACCTGGCTGAGAAGTTACATAAAGCTGTTCCAGGCCCCGTGCCAGCGCTGCGGGAAGTTTCTGCAAGACGGCCTTCCCCCGACGTGGAGGGACTTCCGAACCCTCGAAGCCTTCCACGACACCTGCCGGCAGTAGCGCCGCCCCAGTCCCAGCCCCACCCCTGGGTCTGTGCCGGCCTGCAGACACCCACCCAGCAGCTTCCTGGCCGAGCATGAAGTCCGTGGATGGCTCAGCCTGTTCCCACCGCCCAGACGTCAGTACAGCCACTCCCGCCCTGTCCTCCAGGTGTGGTGTGTGCCGAGGCCTACCCTCCTGGAGAGCGGGACCCACCTCTGTGGTTGAGGGGACTGATCACACCTGTCAGGCAGTGGCTCAAAGGTGAAGAAGACCTTCCTAGAACAAGGAAGCCACGCGGCGTGTTCTTCGTCCATACACGCTGGCAATGCCGGTGAGCGGGCCCGCCCTACTCTGCATGACGTCATTCCTGTGAGCTGTTCCTGGCATGAGCCCCTGTGTTGATGGATATGGTCATGCAGGACTCTTGTGGGTTTTTGTAACTTATTTTGGTAACCAATAAACCTTTCGTACCCAGGACAAGGCTTTGTCTCCTGTTTCTTAGAGCACCTTTTACATTCAGTTTGTGAACACCTAAGTGGATCTGGGCCTTTTGAAGAGAAAAAAAAAAACACTTAGCGATGTCTGCACTTCCAACAGGGTTCTTTCTTTTAAGAACCCACTTCTCTGCTTCTTGCTGTCAGGGGAGAGGGCAGTGCTGTCAAACACTCTATTTCAAAGAGGTTTTGGTGGCTTAAAAGTGGATTGCTCTTTTGGAGGAAAAGAGGATGCAAAAGTGTCTTTTCACTAAGCCGGCAACACACCCCAACGGGAAGGGAGTCTGCGTGGGTTCACCAGCTGGACACGTGTGAGCAGGACTCACGGGCGTGCCGGCTGGTCTGTCCCGGGTTTTGTCCTAAATATCACTGTGAATCGATTCCAGTTCAGTCCGCTGAGTCTGTTCAGTGCCTCCACACCAGCTTTTAAGGCCATAACCTGTTTCCAGTGAAGGGCTTGAGAAGGAAGGGGGTGCCCAGAGCCTTCCCGGCCTGGCCTCCGCTGGAAGCGATGTTCTCCCTGCAGTGAACACAGCATCAGGCAGGACTCTGCCTTCTCAGATATCCAGATGTTCCCACCTCGGTTCCGGTACTGCCCATCCTCCAGGCTGGAAGGAGCCAGAAAATGGAGAAGACTTCGTGATGGGGGAACGTGTGGTGTTTAGACCAGCAGCTTCGCCCTCTTGGGGCTCATTAGAAATATGGGTCTCAGCTGGGCACAGTGGCTCATGTCTGACTCCAGCACCTCGGGAGGCCAAGGCAGGAGGCTTGCTTGAGCCCAGGAGTTCAAGAGTAGCCTGGGCATCAGAGACACCTCATCTCTACAAAAAATAAAAAATTAGCCAGGCATGGTAAGCATACATTTATAGTCTCAGCTACTTGGGAGGCTAAGGTGGGAGGATCGCTCGAGCCCAGTGATCATGCCCCTGCACTCCAGCCTAGGCGACAGAGGGAGACCCCGACTAAAAAAAAAGAAAGAAATACAAATCCTCGAGCCCTCCTAGACCCTCTCAATCAGACATTTGAGGTGGGGACTTCAACAACCCCTAGGTGACTCCCACAGGCCTCTGCTATGGAAGAAATGCCCCATTTGGAGAGGTGTGGCAAAGGTAACCCACGGTGTCATGTAGGACATTTCCACATGGGGGGGTTACATTAAATGCCGTGCAGTTTGTCAAATTCAAGATGCCAACACTCATAAGACGCACCATTATCTTACGAACCACTAAGAAAGAGAAACACGCTCCCAATTAAACCCAGGCCTTAACAGTAATCCAGTGTGATACATGAATCAGTCACTCCAGCCTTTCATCACTTTGAAATTTCTTTCATCTATTCCGAGGGGTTGACAGTTTCTCTTGCCCTAAGTCTTGTTTAGCCTGTGACAGTCAATCCCTTTACACAACTCCCAGTAACAGACCATCATTGGTCAGTTCCATGGTGTTACCAGCATTCACTGAATGCGGCATCCTCCTTTTTTTTTTTTTGAGTCGGGATCTCACTGTGTTGCCCAGGCTGGAGTGCAGTGGCACGATCACAACTCACCACAGCCTCCTGAGCTCAGGCTATCCTTCTACCTCAGCCTCCTGAATAGCCAGGGCTACAGGTGCCAGCCCCACACCCAGCTAATTTTTTGATTTTTTGTAGAGATGAGGTCTCGTCAAGTTGCCCGGGCTGGTCTCAAACCCCTGGGCTCAGGTAGTCCTCTCACCTCAGCCTCCCAAAGTGCTGGAATGACAGGCATGAGCCCCTGTGCCCGGCCTGAATCCTCTTTTCTTTGGTCTCATAAGACACTAGTTACTTTGCAAGAAAATTTGGAATTGAGGATCCCGGGTATGTGATAACATTGTCTCCGTGCTGCCCGTCTTTTCAAAGACATTCCAATGTCAAGGTCGCTGACCCTGCACGGTACTCAACGGCGCACATAGCTCACACAAAGTGACGACACCATGGCCGGCTCTGTCCAAGCTGGAGCGTGTGCAGATAATGACACACGTGCCATGACTGCCAGCTGGCAGACAGCATGCGCCAGAGACGTTCAAATGTGGAAAAACACCCATCGGAGGATGGGTGAGATTATGGTAAGTCACATCGTGAGAAAGCGATTGGGGTTTTAACTGTTTGAATCCCTCCGATGGCAGTGAGGCTGAGAACGTCCTGTTGGCACGAAAGGACGCCCTAATGCTCCCGTTTCCAAAAGGGAGAGCAGCTTGCAACCTTGAGTTTACAACCTCAGACGGTCTGTGTTTCTCCTTGGGATGACATGGCATTTTTTTTTTGTCCTCTCCGTGTCTTCTTCAGAGACCCCTTCTATTTACAGCAAGTGATACCTGCTGCCCATTTACAGGAGTGGTCTGCGTGTCTGTCTAAAATTCATTTAGGTGAAAACATGACTATTAAGAAAAACATTAAATAAATAACAGCACAAGAAGAGGCTGGTTATGGCAGAAAATGTGAAGGGTGTGGGCAGGTAACAGGTGGCAGATGTACTGGGCCAAGCCGTTTTTTGGGGGGTGTTTTTTGAGTCGGAGTCTCACCCCATCGCCCAGGCTGGAGTGCAGTGGCACGCTCAAGGCCACCGCAGCCTCGACCTGCTCGGTCCCAACGATCCTTCTGGCTCAGCCTTCCAAGGAGCCAGAACTACAGGCATGCACTACCATGCCCAGCTAATTTCTGATTGATTGTAGAGACGAGGTCCACAGGCTCAGGCGATCCACTCAACTCAGCCTCCCAAAGTGCTGGGATTGCAGGCTTGAGCCACCGCATCTGACCTTTTGTTTTGTTTTGTTTTGTTTTTTAAGTTGGAGTCTCACTTCATCACCCAGACTAGAGTGCAGTGGCATGCTCACAGCCACCGCAGCCTCAATCTGCTGGGCTCAGGCATTCCTTCCGCCTCAGCCTTCCAAGTAGCCGGAACTACAGGCGCCCGGCTAATTTTTTTTATTTTTATTGTAGAGATGAGGTCTCACCAAGTTACCCCGGCTGTTCTCGAGCTGCGGGCTCAGGCAATCCGCTCACCTCGGCCTCCCAAAGTGCTGGGATTACAGGCTTAAGCCACCACACCCAGCCTATTGTGGTTTTCTTTTTTTTAAACAGCTTTACTGAGCTATAATTCACGATTCACTGATTTAAAGTGTAAAACTCAATGGTTTTTGGTATGTCATTATCAATTTTTGAAAATTATGATAAAATACACATAACAAAATTTGCCATTTTTATCTTTTTTTTTTTTTTTTTAAGTTGGAGTCTCACTCTGTCGCCCAGACTGGAGTGCAGTGGCTGCTCCTGGCCACCACAGCCTCGACCTGCTGGGCTCAGGTGATCCTTCCTCCTCAGCCTTCCAAGTAGCCGGTACTACAGGCGTACACTACCACGCCCGGCTTACTTTTTGATTTATTGTAGAGATAAGGTCTCGCCAAGTTGCCCGGGCTGGTCTGGAACCCATGGGCTTGGGCAATCCTCTTTTGGCCTCCCAACCAAAAAGTTAGGATTACAGTTGAGCCACTGAAGCCAGTCAGGCCCAGCCTTTTTTTTTTCCAGTCAGGGTCTTGCTCCGTTGCCCAGGCGAGAGTACAGTGGCGCAATCACAGCTCACCACAGCCGCCATCTTCTGGGCTCGAGTGGTCTTTCTGCCTCAGCCTCCCAAGTAGCTGGGACTAGACACGCCACCACACTTGGCTATTTTATTTTATTTTTGCAGAGATGGGGTCTTTCTATATTGTCCAGGCTAGTCTTAAACTCCTGGGCTCAAGCAATCCTCTTGCCTCGGCCTCCCAGCGTGCTGGGGTGACAGGCGTGAGTCACTGCACCCCAGAGCACCCAGCCTTCTGCTGCCAGTGGTTGGAGCCTGAAGAAGCCTCTTCCCCGGACAGCACTGACCCTCTTCCGTGCCATGCGAGACTGGTGATCCAGGGATGGTGGACGAGGCGGGGATCGCAGAGGAACACACGGGCTGTGAGTTGGCCGTGACGGGGCCGGGCAGTGGGGGGACACAAGGGTCAGGCCAGTGAACCTGTGGGGCCTTTTGCCTCTGACCTCAGTCGTCAGTCCTGAGAGGGGGAGCCTGGAAGGGAGTAGATTTGAAGTGAGAGGGGCCGGCAGGGTGACGGGCATCGCGGGGTGGCTGCCAGGCCGGCCGCACGGCCACGCTCTGTGTCCTCAGCCACGAGGGACCGGCCCCCCCCAACTGAGCCAGAATCCCCAGCCGGTGCCGGGACACCTGTGTCCTGCAGGTGCTCCCGGGCCACCCCGGGCGGGGACGCTTTCCCCACCTCTCCGCGGGCTGGGGGTTCTTGTGACTCACCGGATCGCCCGGTGGGAGCTGGCAGAAGGGAGCGAGGAGGTCTAGGAGAGGTGGTCCAGATTTTTGGTCTGAACTAAATCGGGAACTGGCCTTTTGGTATCGAGTGATGTTTTTACACTTCACACCACTGACTGCACGAAATGCCGATCATGCGGTGTTAATGCGCAAACCCGCCATTGCATTTGGAGTGTCAGAGTGTGGGCCTGGCGCTAAATCGGGAGCCTTTTAAGGTCACCCCGGTGGGGAGGAAGAGAGACAACGGCTCCAGCCACCGGGATTCTCACGGGATCTGGGGCCCCCTGCCCACCGCACGGGGGGCACCGTCTGTGTCCGTCGGGTCTGCGGACAGAGGGCTGAAAAGGACGGCTCGCCAGGCGCGGTGGCTCATGCCTGCGATCCCAGCGCTTTGGGAGGCTGAGACGGGAGGGCTGTTGGAGCCCAGGAGTTCAAGACCAGCCTGGGCAAACGGTGAGACCCCCCTCTGCCCGTCTCTACAAATAAATAAATAATAAAGGATGAGTCGCACCCCTCCCTGTGTCCCTGGCCTCTGCAGCTCTCCTGGCGTGCTGAGGTTGATGGGGAAGGGAGGTTCATGGGCCTGGACCTGTCAGGTAAGGGCAGGCCCGTCTCATCTACCTGCTCACTCACAGGTGAGCTTGTTCAAGGTCGTCTGAACAGAG